TGCCTGTAATCCCAGCTACTCAGGAGTCTAAGGCAGGAGAATCACTTCAGCCTGGGAGGCGGAGGTTAAAGTGAGCTGAGATCATGCCACTGCACTCTGGGCGACAGAGTGAGACTCTGTCTCAAAATAAATAAATAAATAAATAAAAATAACACACTCCTAAAATATGATCACACTAAAATAATTTAGCATTGACGCAATAGCATTCTTTGATATATAGTCCAGCTATCTAAAAATATCTATTTTATAGTATTTTAATAATCCAGGATCCATTCAACTTTACTCATTGAAAACTGATTTTTATATCTTCTTAGTTTCCCTTAATCTAAAAGAAGCTTCCTGCCTCTATTTACTACTTATTTTGTGTTAAGGATACTGGCATGTATTTTAATTTAATTTAATTTAATTTAATTTAATTTAATTTTGAGACAGGGTATCACCCTGTTGTTCAGGCTGGAGTGCGCTGCTGCCTTGACCTCCTGGACTCAAGCCGTTCTCCCACCTTAGCCTCCCGAATAGCTGGGACCGCAGGCCCACACCACCATGCCCAGCTGATTTCTTTGTTTTCTCTAGAGACAGGGTCTCATTATGTTGCCCAGGCTGGTCTTGAACTCCTGAGCTCAAGCCATACTCCTGCCTCAGCCTCCCAAAGTGCTAGGATTACAGGCATGAGCCACCATTCCCGACCAACATTGGCATTATTAGAGTTCACTTGTCTTGTTGAACATCGCACAATCTAGATTTTGCTGATGGTTTCCTCATGATGATATTTAGGCTAAGTGTTTGAGGCAAGAACACTCTGCAGGTGACACTGTGTGCTTCCTGCTGCACATATCAGGAGGTCCTTCATGTTTATGATGCTCAGTTATTTGGTTAAGGAGATATCCATCACATCTCTCCATTGTAAAGACACCTTTTGACTTTTTTCATTAATAGTCACACTGTGGATGTTAAAACTGTTTTTAGGGGGCAAAACTCATCTACTTTTCCTGGAAAAACCATCTTTCTTCCATTGTCTCATCAAAAACCCCACTATGGTGTGGTTATGGCTGACACCAGCCTCCAGGAGGCTGCTCTTATAGCATGAAGATTCATGATTGTAATCGTTAATAACCATAACATTTCCTAATGTCTTGTAGCATTTTGTAGTTTATAGAGCATTTTTGCACATGTTGCAGCTTTCGATTTGCCCCAAATTCCCTTTTCATTGTCCAAGAAGTAAGACTGTAGAATCATTCACTCGCTCATTCACCCATCCATTCATCCAGACCACATGCTAGCCACTGGTCCAGAAGCCAGGGCTTTCATAAATGAATGAAGGGATCAGATCTAGGTGGGGAGACCAACAGGCAATCTTTTCCCAAACAGTGTCACTGCAGCGGTAAGACAAGCTCTGGGGTAGAGAACATGGGGTTGGAAGGAACCAGCTGAAAAGAGAAGCATAGAGAAGTAGAAACTGAGGCTCCACCCTGCCCTATCCACTGTCACATGAGAAACTCTATTTCTCTCCCTTTTAAAGCACTGTGAGTTGGGTTTTCTGTTTCCTGCAGCCAAATGCGTCCTGATACTCTCAATGTTCTCACATTGCAGGTGAGGAAATGAAGGCCCCAGAAGTAAAAGATTTTGCCAAATGACACTCAGCTAGCAAATGCCCGAAATGGTTCTTGATCATGGGTGATTGATTCTAAGTCCCTCACTTGTGTCCTAGGGAAAGAGACAGGAAGAGCCCCTGTTGTCTGAGTCTTGATGAACTCCCTGGCTCTCCTCTTCTGTACACAGTTCAGAGATGGCTAGACAGAAGGAAGATGCCCAGTAACACTTACTCAGGTGCTCTGAGTGCTGGTCACTTCCCCCTTGGTGGCTAAGTGGCGGGCATTTCAGGATACAGAGCACTTTCATTAAGTTTAGCACTATTCACATGGACAGACAGTGGGTGTGCACGTTCAGTCAACCCAAATAGACGAACATACTGTCTGAAGGCCACAAAGTGCCCCATGAATAATTCCCTGTAAATACACATCCAATGCCCACACTTCACAGAGACTGATTGAATGTGTAAAAGACTGAAGGGCTCAGGGAACAGGAATTAATGGATGGAAGGAATCTATCATGGTTGAGGTCAAAGAGTAGGCTCAGTGTAGCAGAGAGCCAGGCTCACCAGCCTGCTGTGAATTTGAAGTATGGGGGCAATTAGGCATGAGCTATTTGTAGACAGAAGGAAAAACGGTGAACTAAATGGCTTAGGCTTAGTTCCACGTGCAGGTTGGATGCAGAGGACTGTCATCCTCAATACAGGCTGCAAAATGATGCCAAGGGTCACCCTCATAGAGGGCAGGGCCCAGTGTTGGAAACATTTAAAGTACGACTTCTGAGCTTTAAAAGAGACATTGTATATATAGATCTACAGGAAGGTCAAGAATTCTAAAATCCTGGCAGCTAATTGTCCCGCTTCACCTTAAGTAATTTTGCTAGAGAATGCTGATGCAGCCTGTATTTGTGCTGTGTGTGTGTGTGTGCGCGCGCATGTGTTTATGTGTGTGTGTGTGTAGAGGACGTAGTAAGAGGGAAAAAATGTGGCATTTTTGCCAGCATTTGCCTTTTTTTTTTTTTTTTGTCTTTTTTTCTTGCTGTTCTCCACCCCTACAATAAGCTGAGCCAGTGTAAGTTACAATTTATTAGCTGGTTGCTATGGGTTACACCAGTGCTCCGCAGATATTCCCTTCAGAAATAGTAACATTTAATGTAATGTAAAACAGAACTACTGTATCACCACTTGCTTGGCTTCTGCTAGCTTGCAATATTATATCCTTCCCTGCTGAGCTTGAAGCCTCAGGAAATTAGCTGGTGCCATTATTTTATGATGATGATGGGTGTCTGCCATACCCCCCTTGTTTCATGAAAAAGACAGCCTGCAAACCGAGGGTGTCTGCAGGACCTGGGGTGCCAACTTGCAGTGCCATGCAGTGCCCAGAGACTGGCTGTTTGTTTCATCTGCCTGTTCATTATTTAAGGCAGTCTTCTCAAAGCTGAGTCCCTGTGGGCCCGGGGCCAGTTACCATTTCAGGGAGGCTAGCTGTAACTACCAATGAATTTTATTTATTCTGCCATCTGTGTAATATTTGTGGCAGGCTGGTTAACAAAAATTTGTGGGCTGGTAAATTTTCAGGATAATTTAACTGTAAGAGTGATTTGAAGGGGAAAGGTTAGAAGATGGTGACCCTGAGTAAAGCCATTCAAGTTAAAATAAACAGAATAGAAGAGAAACGAGTGTTTTCAGGCCACCCACATTCTCTCTTTTCTGTCTGCTCTCTCCATTGCCCACCCACCTAACCACTACCCCTCTCAGAGTACACCTTTTCCTGCCCGTGTGCTCAGTCTCTTCTCTCGCCTGCCCACGGAGGTGTACTCTCTTTTACAGGCAGGACACTAGGTTGCCCTACAGATGATGCTTCCCTAACAGGGTCCACTAGTGTAGGAGGAGTGCTGGGGTGGTAAACAGAATGTGGGCTCTGGAAGATCTAGGTTCAAAGCCTGGCTCTGCCACTTCCTGGTTGTATGACCTTGGACAAGTTCCTTGACCCTTTGAAGCCTCGGTTTCTATATTATAACACAGGATAACTGTATTTACCTTGAGTGCATATTGTTAAGGATCTGAGGGTGCAATATCTACGTAATCTCTTAGCATCGTGCCTGGCCCATCGTGAAAAGTGGTCTTGCCTACTCTCCAATGTGGGACATTTTTGTTCCCTCTTCCTGAGAGACTCAGCCAGCTGGTCCTCCTGGGCATCTCCTGCTTTTCATTCAAGACTAGATCAGACACAACCTCTTGTGAAAGCAACTTAGCTACCCCCCTGCCTGTCCTCTTTCACGCCATGTGCCTGCTGCTCTCCGCCGCTGCTGTGGCACCTCCGCATGCCTCTGCTGTAGTGTGTCCATGCTAGATTGTCATTCTCTGTTGAAAAGTCTTCCTCCCACTAAGCTCTGAGCTTCCTCGGGGTTGGCAGCTTGCCTTTCTGATCACTCTTCCTAGTGCAGTGCCTGTACACATAAGTTTTCAATGAAGTTTGTTGGGTGTATGAATGAAGTAAAGAAAAAACTAATTCATTAACTCATGTTTACCTACAGTATACTTGGTGGATAAAAGTCATGGCTCTATTCTACAGGGCAGTGGCAGCCACCAGGACTAAGGGACAGTGTATGCCATAGTCTCTATCGTTCAAATGCCTTTGGCTGTAAGTAACAAAAGATGCAATTCACAATGGCTTAATAATAAGAAAATTTATTATGCCCCATAGCAAGAGATCCAGAGATAGGCAAGCTCCAGAGATGGTTAATTTATTTCTTCAGTAATGTCATAGAAGACCCAGTTTCTTCCAACTCCCACCCTAGCTATCTTCATCGGGTTGCATTTTTCTTCACGGTAACTCTCCTCAGAGCGAGAAGTAAGGCACAGCTGTACTAAGCAGATCCAATCCAGATAATATGACAGTGGCTGCTTCTCTTTTTATAAAGGGGAAAGCCTCTTTTAGAACCCCCAGCCCTACCTAGTAGACTTCTGCTCATGGTTTTGGTCAGAACTAAGTCATGGGTCCTTTTGAAACACCAGTTATTAGCACAGGGAAAGAGAATGCTATGAACAGCTTAGGGCAAACATGTGGTCATGAATAGGACATGTTGCCAAGCAGACTGGAGTTATGTTAGGAAGGGAGAAGCGCAGGGATACAGTTATGTTGGATAAGCAGCCACACAGCTTGCTGCTGTGTGCATTTATTCATTCAACAGATATTATCTATTATATACCCAGCATTGTGCTGGAGGTTGTGGACAGTAGTGAACAAGAGAGACAAGATCCTTCGCCTGCCAGGCCTTCCCCTCACCCCCTGCGCTTTGAGATGGAGAGGGTGTCCAGGCCTCCCCACTTCACCCTCTGAGGTGAGGAGGCGTCCAGGGCCTCGCATCTCAGCACGGGACTGACGGGCTTGCCCTGACCTCTCGCAGGCATGAACGCCGCTGTCTGGGTCATGACACACATGGGCATTTATGTGGGCGCCAAAGTCTTCCTCATCTACAAGGTAAAGCTGAGGCGAGCTCTGTGTATGTGGGGAGCAGGAGCCTCCTGGGGTGCAGGCTGGGGTCTGGTCTGTGTGGGTCACCCTGGGAGCCCTCAGATGACCCTGGTGGAGCTAATGTTTCAGACGTTCCAGTAAGGAAAGAGACAGTGGCCATGTAAACAAATAAACAAGATCCTTGTAGAGTGCCGTAACTGTCATAAAGAAATCAGCAGAGCAGTGGACAGAGTGTGAACAGGGCCTGCACTGGAGGTGGACATGGAAGGTCCTTCTGAGAAGGTAACATCTGATGAAGTAGGGAGCAACAAGTCCGGGGCAGATCAAGAGAGAAGACTCCAAGCAGAGCCAACAGCGAGTGCAAAGGCCCCAAGGCAGGAATGAGGTGGCTGTGTGGCTGGAGCAAAGTCTGTGCCTAATGACTGATCAAAAGTTGCTTCTGGCACCCAGCCTGGCTCCTGCCCCAAGCTGAAAACAGATCATCAGCAACAACTCTAGCTTCCCAAGCCTCTCCTGCCCAGACTTGCAGCTCCACCCAGGTCAGAGGCACAGCTGCAGGGACCACAGAACAATGGGCTCAGCTCTGTGAAGACAAGAAAAGCCACCATGGTTTTGACAAAGAACCCAGGAACGGCGTTAAAGGCTTCTTTGGGCAGTGTCCAATTTATGTAGCAATTTTCTTGGCCACATCTGCGGAGGTATAAAAAGACAGATATAAGGCAAGGATGGAACTACTTTATGTGTGTTGATATCCCTTCCCCACGGTTCTGTACACCTCAGAGCTCCTGCAGCGTGGCGGGTGATCCCAGTGGCTCCTATTTCACCTGGAGGCAGGACAGTGCTGCTGCCACGTATGGCAGCTCTGCCAGGGCTGAGGAGGCAGAGACTGTAATTCTCATTTTGGTGTACTCATCCCTACCACTTTTCTGCCACTGAGTTTTTGGGTGGGCATAAGTTCACTGGCAGCCTGGGTTCCCAGTCTTACTCTCCTCCAGGCCTGGTAGCTCTTCTTTCCTGCAGTGAAAACCTCTCCAAGGGTTTTAATGATCCTGCCCAGTTCTGACCTGCCACACCCATCACAGCCTGGTCAGTCCAGAGAGTACCGAGTCCTCCTGCTTCCTCTGTCAGCAGTGACATCAGGCATCTTCCCTAGGCTTCCTCTAGAAACTGGTCCCTTTTTGTCCCTCTTCCAGGTAGCCTTTTCCCCTGAATGTTGTTAATGGATTCATTTGATATCTTGTTTTCCTTTGAAGCTTTTGTGAAACTCGTGTAGACTCATGGAGCATCCAAATGAGGTAACATCACCATCAGTGCTCCTTCCCTGGCTCACTGCCTCGGGAAACCAACCTGGTAGGTGTTTCTGAGACTCTCAGTGTCTATGGAAGTCCCTGGGGATTTCTCACTCAAATCTGCAGAGTGTTTAGTCTTCCTGGACTTTTGGCTCTAGGCAGTTTGCTTGGAAGTATTGAAGGAGAGTAGCTCCCTGACCCCCATGTGATAATATTATAGGGCCTCAGAGCATGCTTGTTTGGCATTCTAGGGGTTGGGAGATTGGTGAGACACCCCAGATGTCTGCTTGACTTCAGGGTGGCTGATAACAGTAGAGACCACCACCCATGACCCGGAACCGCAGCTTCCTCTGACTTGCAACTGTGCTGCTGCCTGGGACGGATTCCTTTCTTCTTAAGGTTGAACTTTCTCTTAAGGAGTCCATGTTTGGGTGTTGTCCCTAACCACCCCACCTCCCCCGCTCCCTGTCCTAAGTTCTGCAGGCACCAGGGACCCCAGTTATGGACACAGGCGGGTTCTTTCCCTGGAGCTCCAGAATCCAGGTAGAACCTGGGAAGGGATGGGAAAAGAGGTCATTCCATCATTTGGACAAACCTAAATCTAAATTTAGCCCCAGCCTGCTATAGAATATCAGTATGAAAGAAACTCTGGACGTTATTAGGTCAACTGCTTCATTTTGCAGATGAGAAAACAGAGGCCCAGAGAGGTGAAGTGGTTGAACTAAGAACATGGACCTCATGGCAGAGCTGGACTGACCGTATCTCCTGACTTTGAGTCTGGGTCTCCATTCACTGTGCCTTCTGCCCTTGTTGTTTTTGAATTTTATAAAAGGTCCTTCACATTCAAAAGCCTCTTCTTTCTGTTCCCCTGCCCACCCTCTACCTTGTAGAACTTCTGATAAGATGCCTAGGCCATGAGTGGCATTCTTGGGCTGTCTTGAGCGTGAAGACACCTTTGTGGCTAGCCTCCTTGAGCACATATGGGGCGTCGACATATATTTATTGAATCAGATTAGGACATAATTTTCCTTTTTTTTTTTGTGAGACGGAGTTTCGCTCCTGTTGCCCAGGCTGCAGTGCGATGGCGCAATCTCAGCTCACCGCAACCTCCGCCTCCCAGGTTCAAGCAATTCTACTGCCTCAGCCTCCCAAGTAGCTGGGATTACAGGTGCCTGCCACCATGCCCAGTTAATTTTCTATTTTTAGTGGAGACGGGGGTCTCTGCATGTTGGTCAGGCTGGTCTCGAACTTCCGACCTCAGGTGATCTGCCTGCCTCAGCCTCCCAAAGTGCTGGGATTACAGGCGTGAGTCACCGCACCTAGCCAATTTTCAGTATTTTAATTCTCCAATAGTATATTAATAGAACTACTGCAAAAATAAAAGTGCATATTTTCCACTTAAATAATTAGGTTAAATCAACTTAGATTTTTATTTTTCCTGCAGGACTTACAGCTTATAATGGGCTAAAAAGCACTGTGACTGTTGGCCAGGCATGGTGGCTCACGCCTGTAATCCCAGCACTTTGGGAGGCCGAGGCGGGCAGATCATGAGGTCAGGAGATCAAGACCATCCTGCCTAACACAGTGAAACCCCATCTCTACTAAAAAAAAAAAAAAAAAAAAATTAGCCGGGAGTGGTGGTGGGTGCCTGTAGTCCCAGCTACTCAGGAGGCTGAGGCAGGAGAACGGCTTGAAGCTGGGAGGCAGAGCTTGCAGTGAACCAAGATCGTGCCACTGCACTCCAGCCTGGGCAACAACAGAGTGAGACTCTGTCTCAAAAAAAAAAAAAAAAAAAGCACTGCGACTGTGGCCATTTAACATGAACTCCAGAAAGTGTTCTCCATACCGTATTTTGTGAAAAGCTGCACAAAGGTGGATGCATGGAAAATTGAAGGTTTGCCTGATCCTCTACCAGGGAATCCTGGTTCTATGGAGCAGCCAGAGCTATGACTGGTCTCCAGGACAGGAATGTACCTGCTCCCTGGTGAAAGTGCCTCTCTGTGGCCTCAGGGCCTCTGTGAGGCAAGGCAGAGCTCCTGTCCCTGCATGAGCACACCTGGGGCTTCTGGAGTGGCTGAGACACTTATGCTCCCTGCTTCCTGCTTCCTGGAGCAGAATTTAAGGAAGACTACTGGGCTTTTGCCTCAGGAGACCAGACGAAACAAAACCTCCTTTCAGAGGGGCATTCTTCTGACTTTTTCTTCAAGTGGAATTGTGACTGTAGGTTTGGGTTTAAACATTGAATTTCAATTTTGCATACACACACCAAGAGGCCTCGGGGCAATGGGGGTGTTTGAAATGAACACCAGCCCGAGTCCTCTACCTGCCAAGTGTTCGATTAAGCTGCTTAGGTCTGTTTCCACCATCCTGTCTTTCAAATATTTATGTGGCAGATTATAGGCAAGCTTCAAAGGCAAGGAAATGCAAATCTGTTCTATAAATCATGGAATAACACAGCTGCTGTCTTCCTCAGTGTGACAGCTTACGAATGCCAGCATTTCTGTCTGCAGAAGGGGTGGTGGGAATGGGCTTCTCGAGTGCAGCCAGGCCTGTGTGCGTGCCTGTGTGTGTGTGTGTGTGTGTGTGTTGGGAGTAAGGAAGAGAGTAGGGAATACTAATAATATTCGCATTTTTGCAAAACAGCAGTTTTTTTGTTGTTTAAATTTCCCAGCAGTTAAGGAGTTAATTTATTTTGCTAATCTTAAAGAACTGTGGCGGGATAAAACCTCACCTGGGATCTGAGGCATCCAGAAAACTAGAGATGAAAATGGCTTTCGGTTTTGGGGAAATATACCTAGAACGTGAAGTAAGGGAAGAGAAGTCAACAGCAATAACTTTGGAGATTCCAAAATGAATTTAATTTAGTCTAAATGAATAAAAAGGTAATTGTGCATTGCAAATACTTATGCAAATTAAGTTTTGCCCCCAGGGTCTTAACAATCTGCCAGTGAAGCCCCCAGTGTGCCAAAGATTAGACTTTTGTGGGCTCTTTTTGGCTGTTGCCATGAACACATCGACTTGGTACACTGGTGTTCAGTGACCCATTAACATCCACCAAGACCAGCACTGGGGTTTATGGTCCTTGCCCAGCAGCTGGTTTTGGCCTGGTGTCATTCTAAGGAAAAACCTGGGAAAGCTGCAGTCAACAGCGTGCAGGGACCCAAAGGAAGATGCTGTATAAGACAAAATGAGTGGGGATAAGGTTTGCCATGTATTAGTCAGGATTCTGTTGCAAGTGACTCAAACTCACTTAGGCAATAGGGGGAATTTTCTGGGTCACTGAAGGGAACATTGAATAACCAAATCATGGGAAAGGAACGAAAGTAGTTGGGCTCGGGAACAGTTGGAACAAAAACTGGAATGCTGCTAGGACTGTCTTCCATCACCTGTCTTTACTTTTTCTCTGTGCTGGCTCCTAACATGGCTGCATATTAGGACTAGTAGATTTTGTGCCTAACGACTTCTCCTATTATAAAGACTGTTTTGCACCTGACAACTTTTGTCTCTGTAGAATCCTATTTTGAATAATCCCAGAAGAAGAAATTTTTGATTGGTTGAGCTGGGATCAGGTGTCCATGCCTGGACCAATCAACTGTAGAAAGAGGACCGAGCGTCATATAAAAACATGGCAGCTCTTACGGTAGTCGTGTTGATGATGGGTGGCTTTACCAAAAAAAAAAAAAAAAATGGAGTGGGGAAGCTTTGGACAGACAATCCAGTAAGCATCTACTACATTCTAGAGAGAGCTGGAAAAAAGACCAAAGAAGGCAAAGAAAGGGGGCCAGAAAAGATGGTGTGATGACGGAGTTGCATGTTGGAATTCATTGACTGACTCCTTGACATTCAGTATTCCATAGGATTCCTTAATGACACTAAATGCTCCTGGTTTTTCTATTTTTCTGATGGCTCTTATTCTGTCTCCTTGATTGTTCTAGAGCCTTCTCTTCTCTGCGCTGAGAATCTCCTCAAGATTACAGGCCCTTAGTTTTGTATCTTGCCTCTAGAGAAGACAAATAGATAGCTTCTTTCCAACTGCATAAACAGTATTCCCCGTCAGCACCCTCCTCTTACCTTCCAGAAGAAATCTACACTTGGATTTCCTTTAGTCACATTTAATGCCTTTCTTAAAAAGTGTGGTTCCTGAACCAGTCACATGAAAATTACCTGGAAGCTGATTGGAAACGCAGAATCTTGGGCCTTATCCCAAAACTGCTGAATCAGAATCTGCATTCTAACAAGATGACCGGGTACTTAGTAAGTCCATTAATTTGGAAAGCACCACTTTAAGCAATTAGAAAGGGAACACATAATCAATCTGCTCTCAGTGGCGAAATAAATGTTTTTTCACAATTTTCCTACCAGGTCAATGGCAACCCTGTCTAGAAACCCAGATTCACAACAACTCTCAAAATTACTTTTCCAATACTTTCTTGTCTTCATTACCTATGTCCAATCTATTACCAATTTCAACCTATTAATTCCACTGTCCAGTAGGTCTGTTTTTCCTAACCATGCCTTCCTCACTTTCTGCAGGCTCTAATAGATGCATTTGCCAGTCAGCCTCCTCATTTAAAAAACGGGTCAAATAATGCTTACAATGCCTCCTATACATATTTACATACAATACAAATTTAATGTGTAATTATCTTCATCCTGGTAGGACTGGTTTTCCACTATGGCTTTGTACACAGTTGTAAGGGATGTTGCAGATAACGTATTATTAACTGTAAAGTGCCAAAATCTATGAACAATTTTGATTTTAAATATATTCGAAGGGATTAAAGATTATTTCTAAAATTATTTTCCGTTATCTGCACTTTAATATGCTATAATGAATAACAGAGAAAGTGGTGGAATAATACCTGGTAGACCAGGAATTATAGATAGTAGTGTCTTACATATGAGCATCATCTATGATAGAGGTCAGCAAACTCTTTCTGTAAAAGGCCAGATAGGATTTTAGGCCTTCTGGGCCATATGGTCCCTGTTATAACTACTCAACTCTACCATCATAATGAGGAAGCAGCCAGAGGCAATACATTGCACATTGATTACTGTAGC